TGAATTTTGAATTCTATCCTATAATATGTTCCTGTTTAACTTTAAAATGTTTCTAACTAATTAACATCAAGATCAACCAATAGTATATAATGCATCACACTTATAATGTGACTTCATATAGCCAGTGCCAAAAGCCATATATCCCTTGGGATACAGATAACTCTAGTTTGAGAAACATAAACGACTTGCTCAAAATTGTGAAGCCTAGATTTCAACATCTGATTCCAAAGCCCATGTGCTTTCCCCTATATCAAGTCTTATTGGAACATAATTCTTTCCTCCAAGACTTGGGTTTTAACAATCACACAGGACTTGTGAGAAGTGGAAAAGTAGAACTGAGTCCTTCTTGAATGAAACTGGGACCCCACAAGGGCTGAACATTCAGTGAATGTTCAGCTTGCCTGAGCTCTGGAAGAACAAAAGAAAAGAAAGGAGGATAAGAGGAAAGGAGGGAAGAAAAGAGATAAGAAGAAGAGGAGGATACTTCTCTCAGGAAGGAGAAAATAGATTAGATAAGGAAAAAATTAGTATGCTATATTTGAAACATAATGAACAAGCATATATGTAGATATATGTAGACTCTCTATACCTCCAAAATAATGAATATATTTATTTTCACACATACAAATAATAATTACAAAGTCTCATTAATACTAGTACAGAAATGAAGTCTCAACAAACACCAAAGAATAACATACAGACCACATAATTGTTCAAAATGCAGTTAAAGTAGAAAGCATTTTTAAAAAAGATTTTTTATAATTTTATTTGTTTATTTATTTTCCCCCAAAGCCCCAGTAGATAGTTGTATGTCATAGCTGCACATCCTTCTAGTTGCTGTATGTGGGACGCGGCCTCAGCGTGGCCAGAGAAGCGGTGCGTCGGTGCACACCCGGGATCCGAACCCGGGCCGCCAGCAGCGGAGCGCGTGCACTTAACCGCTAAGCCATGGGGCCGGCCCTAAAAAAGATTTTTTAAATGCTTGAAATTTTAAAACACACTTATAAACATTTCTATGTCAAAGAAGAAACTGTAACATAAATTAGGAGGAATTTAAACTGAATGACAATAAAAACATACACATCAAAACATGTGATGTGTGACAAAGCAATGTGAACAATATGATTGAGAGAAACAACAAAACCAAAAGTTGGTCCTCTGAAAAGATTAACTACACACCAATAAACCTCTGACAAGATTGCTCAAGAAAGAATACAGGAACTTCTTCCTTGGCTATAACAGAATAACTGCCTCTGGACTAGCACTCCAGGCATAAAAACCATAAATTTGACAAAATACATTAGGCAACTATTTTCAGATATTAGACAACAGATAACGTAAGACTGATCCACAAGAAAAGGGGAACCGATGAAGTGATCCCCACATTTACCCTCATTTTTGCCTTAGAACAATTTCTCAAGCAGAGAACAGAGAGCTAGAACTGAAACCGAGGGGGCAGAGATTGACATCAGGTGCAGCTAAACTGCAGCTAAACTGGAATCTGCAGGGCAGGGTATCAGAAAGGAGGAAGCTAGGCAGGTGTGGGGGGCGGGGGAGGAGACTCCAAATGTCTATATGTGATGGTGCCACAAGTCCTTGGCTTAGGGCTAGGCTGCACATGTCAAGAGTGAGACTATCTGAGGCTTACCATGGAGCAGATTCTAGTCGGTTGAGATGACAAGAGATACTAGAGGTCGAACAACGCTAGGGGGCATTTACTTTCTGTTTCTTTTATAGAATTCACTATCTTTATGCTTGTATTATAGTTATCCGTGTGCTCGTCTTACTTTGGGGGAGATACTCTCTTTGAAAAAAGAAATATTATTAGCATCTTTATATATGCCAAAACATTGGATTATTATCCAAAACAAACACACAATGCAAATTTCCTGACTATATAAACAATACAGAAAATGAAAGAGCAAAGTAAAAAAAAAAATAATTACTGCCAAATCTTTCTCTGCATATTCTGTCAATTCACTTTTTTATATCTAAGAAATGAAAAACTACAGTGGCTATTCAGAAACAAATGACAAGTGGCTTAAAAATCAGTACAGGGGGCCGGCCCAGTGATGTAGTGGTTAAGTTCACGCACTCCACTTCGGTGGCCTGGGGTTCATAGGTTCAGATCCTGGGCACGGACATCCACACTGCTTATCACACCATGCTGTGGCAGGTGTCCCGCACATAAAGTAGAGGAAGATGGGCACGGATGTTAGCCCAGGGCCAATCTTTCTCAGCAAAAGGAGGAGGATTGGCAACAGATGTTAGATCAGGGCTAATCCTCCTCACCAAAAAAAAAAAAAAAAAAATCAGTATAAATCTAAAGGAAATTTGAGCAAACAAATGAGTTAAAAATAAATATTCTATTTAGAAGTTGGTGGATAATTAGGAAAATGTTGGGGAACATGATTAGAAAAGTTCAATATTGTATGTTATTATCACATTGCGATATGGTGTTTAAGTTTAGGTGTTATAATAAAGAACTATATGTCCAGCAATAATTGTAAGAAAAATTATCATTTTTATTCCACAAATTAGGCCTTAAACAAAAACTGATCCTTCTAATTCAAAAATTTAACAGATACCTGTACTACGTATTCTTACTAAACCCACAATACATGTTCATTTTCTTTAAAGATAGAAACTTATACAGCTCTCAACACTCCCTCATGATAAAAATACTCAAAAAACTAAGAGTAGAAGGGAACTAACTTCCTCAATCTGACAAAGGACATCTATGAAAGACCTACACTTACTGTCATACTTAATAGTGAAAGACTGAGTGCCTTCTCCCTAAGATCAGGAAGAAGACAAGGACGTTCAGTCTATTTACTTGACATTGTACTGGATGTTCTAGAGAGGGCACTTGGGCAAGAAAATTAGATAAAAGACATGCAGATTGGAAAGGAAGAAGTAAAACTACCTCTATTTGCAGATGACATGATCTTAAATACAGAAAATCCTAAGGAATCCACACACATACACAAAAATCTATTAGAGATAATAAACAAGTTCAGAAAGGTTACAGTATACAAGATCAATGTACAAAAATCAATTTTGTATCTACATATTTGCAATGTACAACCTGAAAACGAAATTAAAAAGCAATTCCATTTACTATAGCATCAAAAAGAATAAAATACTTAGGAATAAATTTAACAAAAGAAGTGTAAGACTTGTACACGGAAAACATTGTTAATAAAATATTAAAGACGACCTAAATAAATGGAAAGACATCTATGTTGATGGATTGCAAGTTTTAATATTGTTAGGATGACAATACTCCCAAACTGATCTGCAGATTCAATGCAATCCCTATGAAAATATGAACTGGACTTCTGTGAAGAAATTGTCGCGTTAAACCTAAAATTCATACGGAAATTCAAGTGACCCAGAATGGTGAAAACAATCCTTAGAAAGAAGCACAAACTCAGAGGACTCACATTTCTCAACTTCAAAACTAACTACAAAGCTAAAATAATTAAGACAGTGTAGTACGAGCATAAGAATAAGCATATAGATGAATGGAATAAAAGTGAGAATCCAGGGGCCGCCCCCGTGGCCTAGCAGTTAAGTGCGCATGCTCTGCTGCTGGCAGCCCAGGTTTGGATCCCTGGCGCGCACCGATGCACTGCTTGTCAGGCCACGCTGTGGCGGCGTCCCATATAAAGTGGAGGAAGATGGGCACAGATGTTAGCCCAGGGCCAGTCTTCCTCAGCAAAAAGAGGATTGGTATGGATGTTAGCTCAGGGCTGATCTCCCTCACAAAAAAAAAAAAAAAAAGAAAGAAAATTAAAATATCATTAAAAAAAAAAAAGTAAGAATCCAGAAAAAAAACCCTCACATTTACAGTCGACTGATTTTCGACAAGGGTACCAAGACAGTTAAATGAGGTAAAGAATAGTCTTTTCAATAAATAATGCTAGGACAACTAGATATCCACATGTAAAAGAATGACGTTCAACCCTTCCTCATACCATACACAAAAATCGACTCAAAACAGATCATACAGCTAAATAAAAGAGCTAAAACTATAAAACTCTTAGAAAAAAACCATAGAGGTAATCTGTTTGACCCTGGATTTGGCCATGATTTCTTAGATATGACACCAAAAGCATACACAACAAAGGAGAAAATAGGTAAATTGGACTTTACCAAAATTTAAAAATTTTGTGCTTCCAAAGACACTACCAAGAAAGTGAAAAGATGACCCACAGAATGGGAAAAAACATTTGCAAATCAGAAAACTAATAAGGGTCTAGTATCCAGAATATATAAAGAATTCTTACAACTCAACATTAAAAAGACAAATGACACAATTAAAAATGGGCAAATGATCTGAATAGACATTTCTCCAAAGATTACAAATGGCCAACGAGCATATGAAAAGATGCTCCAAAATCATTAGTCATTAGGGAAATGTAAATCAAAATGACGAGATGACACTTCACACACACTAGGATGGCTCTAATAAAAAAGACAAGCCTTGGTGATGGTGTGGTGAAATGAGAATTCTTATACATTGCTGGTGGAAATGCAAAATGATGAAGCCACTTTGGAAAACAGTCTGCTAGCCCCTCAAAAAGTTAAACATAGAATTACTATATGATCTAGTAATTCCATTCCCATATGATATACTCAAGAGAAATGAAACATACATCCACAAAAAAAACTTGTACGTGAATGTTCATAGCTCATTATTCATATTAGCCAAAAAGTAAAACAACCCAAATATTCATCAACCAATGGATAAGTAAAATGTGGTATACCCATACAATGTAAAATTATTTGGCAATAAAAAGGAATAACTTACTGATACATACTACAACAGGGATGAACCTCAAAAACATTATACTAAGTGAAATAAAGGCCCCCAAATTTATCTTTTTGGACTATAATAACAACAAAAAATAAATGTTCCTATTACTTGCCTAGTAAGCAGAATTCTGGTTATACAGAACTTGTAATACTGATTTATAGCTACTTTGAACTCTTACCTTTGTGGCCACAAGAAACATGGTATAAACGAACATAAGATTATGCCTTGATATTGCCAGATGCTTGGTGTGCTGGAATGTGAAGATAACTGATCCCAGCAGGGTTACCTTGGCAGGGCTGAAAATAGAACACATTTTAAGTTAGCAAGTAATAAACATGATCTATCTCTATATACCTCAAAGATCACTCTGCAAAATATTAATTTAACAAGATATTAATAGACAAAAATGAGTTCTATGAATATACTTATAAAGTTTTAGAAGTGCTAAGTTATATAAAGTTAAATATCTTTCTTTACAGCATAAAGTATCAGAGACTTTAGAATGTTCATATATATTGTGACTCTCCGATAAAGAGTACATTTCTATATGCAATATTTCTGAAATGTATGTGACCATATAATACTTTTTCACAAAGGATTTGGAAGTCCCATGTTCCACAGCATGATTTAGAAAAAGCAGATTAGTCCTGAGAAACTTTACAGTACTAAATAAGCTCCTTGGGTGGGGTGGGAGAAGGAAAAGAAAGCCCTGACTTGTAGCATTTTCCCATATCCATCACGTAAATACTCCCATCACAGCCAATCTCAGGCTGCTGTATGGAATGGAGAAGAGATACACAAAATCAGCTCTCATAAAACAGTATGAGCCAGCTCCAGCATATTACTTAGCTAACTCCAGCACAGAATATTAGCAATAGCTAGTATCTTAATAAATTAATGCTGAAATTTTAAAGTCTATAATAAGATATTAATCTACAAATAAGAAGTATTATTTTTATACTATATATTTGCCACATAATTAAAGTATATCTCAGTAACAGATCATTATCTAGCTCTTTATGCTTACAACTAGAAAAAAAAAATGATAAAGTCTTAGAATGCCACATTGCAAAATATGACAAAATCTAAAAGCCCAGATAAGCCATTTTATGAAAATTAAGTTATTTATTTAATTATTGCAAGGTAAGGATTGAGTTCAAAACAGAGTTAGTTTTGGGCAACGGGGTTTGGACCTCACTTAACAATAAGATTGGGCAATATTCATGTTTTGGAACAGCGGTATCTAAACTTTTTGACTGCACATCCTTATTGGTAAAAAAGACACTCCCTAATATGTGTTTATCAATTAGTTTATAAATTATATACATGCACAACTGTATTATAAAATGTACACCAAATTGACATTTTAAAAGGATGAGATAAAAAAACAAATGTATTAGGTTTGTCTTAATGTCATTTTGCTACTCTTTGTTTCTAATAGAGTTTGGTTTCTGCACAATAGTGCCTCATCATGGGCATCTTCTTAGCATACTCATATTCCTTTTTGGATTGCATTTTCTTCAAACATAAATTCAGAAGCACTGAATCTGAGGAGCAAAGATTTTGTAGACAATAAATTGGAGCAGGGCATTTCTAGTTTCCTGTGAAACTAGAAAATAAGTTTATGTGCTTCCAAAATGCAACAGTGGAATAGGCATAGGATAACAGTTGCAGACATTCCCATTCCAAACAGGAGAAATGGAAGGAAGTAAGGGGTCACTGATCCTATGCAATTTCAAAATCCAGCAGGGCAAATTCCATTAGGTTTCAAGACCTGGGAATAATCCTCTGTGGCTTCAGGCTCCATCCTCTGAGTCTGCAGCTCCAATAACTGCACTCACGGCTCTGGCCTTTGCACCTGCGACTCCAGCCTGTGGGCCCGGCCTCAGGCCACTAGGCCCGTGGCTCCCAGCTGAAAGTCATTCTTCCTTTTCCTTGAAAGGTAGTTACTCGTTTGCAGTGGAGCAGTTCTATCAGCCTGTTTCCTGCCTATAGAATTTTGGGAGTCTGACAGCCTTCTTTTATTTCATCTTGTCTCTGTCCCTTTCAGTCCAAGCCAGTAGTGTTTCTGCTGATATAACATTTTCAAAAACCTTGTGGGCCTCCTGTGTATGACACAGGGATCCATGCCATTAGTCAATATGGTTCTCCACATATCTTCCCGGTATAATCTCATCTCTATTCCTGGCGTCTGCTGTGATTGCTGAATGGATCCATGAGTCATACACCTAATCTGTTTAACACTAGCAAAAGTTGCCCAGCCACACCCTTGACCTTCTCTCCATAGCAGGTTTTCCTAAAAATGAATCTCCTAATTTTATCATCTTTTGCAATCTAGATAAGCTGAGAATTTCCCAAATCAAGTCTTTGTTTCTTTGCTTAGCAGTTATTTGCTAAATTCAACTCTTGCCTCTCACACTTTACTATAAGCAACAAGAAACCAGTCCAGATCCTCAACACTTTGCTCCAAAATCTCCTCAGCTAAAAATCCAAGTTTATTGCTTACAAGTTATGCTTTCCACATAACTGTAGCACACAATTCAGCTAAGTTTTCTGCCACTATATATCACCTCTTCTCCAGTTTCCAATATCATGTTTCTCATTTCCTTCTGAGCACTCACCAGAACCTTTAATGTTCATATTTCTACCAATATTCTGTTTATCATAATATACATATTCTCTAAGACCATACAGGCTTTCTCTACTATGCAGAAGTATTTGGTAATAAGTAAATGAAAACTTACATATATACACACATACACAAACTATCATAATGTACCAATGATCTATCTTGCCTGACCAATTGTTGATCATTCATTCATTCATCTAATATGTATCAGGTGTCTAATATATGGTAGGTGCTTGGGATACAAGAGCAATCAAAAAAGACAATAATCCTTATCCTTGGCATCTTGTATTCTTTGAAGGGTGGGGCAAAGCCAAGAGGAGAAGAAAATAAACCTAATGAATAAGTAAATTATAGAATACGATAAATGCTGTGGGGGAAAAAAAGAAAAATAGAGGGAAGTGTTGCAATTTTAAGCAGAGTAGTCCTCATTAACAAGGTAAGCTTTGAGAAAATACTTTGAGCAAAGGATGTAAGGCAGTTGCCACCTGAGGAAAAAGATTCTAGGCAGAGAGAAAAGCTACTGTTAAACCAGACCACACCGGGCTTGTTCAAAGATAGCAGTGAGCAAGGGAGAGAATAGTAAGAGATGAAGTCATAGCAAATAGGGTGTGACGGAGAGGCAGATCTTGGAGGGTCTTATAGACCATCTCGGGGAGTTACTGCAAGGTTTTAAACAGAGGAGAAACACAATTTGAGTTTGGTTATAAAAGCCCCAAGAAATGTTTTATGGAATATACATTTCAAGGTATACACTCAAAATGAGAAAAATTTTCCTTGAATATCACTAATGCTTTATTTATAACTTATTATCAGTCAAAGCCTTCTGTGTTCTATTTCTAAACTACCTCATTCAAGCTTTAAGGCATACTTTCCAAGTTAAATATCCTGGAATTTGTTAGTTCACACAAACATATACTTCACCATTCATACTGCTTCTCAACCTTCATTTTTAATCCATTCTAATAAACTTATTTTCACGTAAGGTCTTTCCTCACCTTGCTTATGGCCACTGTTCTCTAAGTCCTTTCCTTCTTTAATTGTGGAAATCGTAACTCTATTTCTCTATTTCATTTTCAGGTGCATCAGGGATACATTTGTGACTTATTTAAGATTGAGTCAGTGTCTTTAAAGAACATCTAATGATCAGATTCTCTTAAATGGATGCAAAAGGTAGTCTGCATTGTACAAGTACACAGTGAGTTATTTCCTCTAAACTTTTTCTTATTTTTATATGTAATTAAGCTCAACTCTCATTTTTGAAGCAACTAACAGGGCTTTATAATAATGTATTGATTTGTTCCCATAAGCTTGACATTTTACCACCAGAGCTATGTATAATTTGAAATCTGCGTGATGTAGTCATTAAGAAAAATTTCAAGAGCCTATAACTACTTCATTTCCATCCAGAGCAGTCTGTTCCTATGTAGTTCTCTCTCCGTAAATACACTCTTCCCACAATTCTACGACAATCCAGAAGTTTTCGTTTGGTTTTATTTTCTAAGAGAAGAAACCCAAAGAGAAAGAAGTCAATATTTATTTGAAAAACTACATTTGAGAGAGGACACTTTTTGAAAGAATAAGTTTCCTGGTTCTCTTCCCATTGTCATTACTATTTATTTTTCCAGCTATATTTCATTCACACTTGAGTCCCCAAAATGTTCTTAAAAAGAAATTTGGTAAGATCTCGGGATAAAAAGCTTGGATCTCAGTATAGTTTATACCAACTCACTAGGACATCTTCAGCCACTGATCAGCTTCTGGTTTCCAACTTCCTTTTACCAACTGCTCAAAACTCGTGATAACGCTACCACCTGCACCTAAAAATAAGATAATAAAACAAGAATATTTATTCAAATTTTCTAGAGAAAATATTTTAAACGAAGCCAAAATTCTATCTCCTGACTTAAAATGTCAAAGAAGATCCCCAAAATGTAACTCTTGGGAAGAAGAAAAAAGTTGCCTCATACATTTACGATACTGAAACAATTGCAATTCTTCCCTTTCACCAGCATGGCAACTGTCTATTATACCTTAATTAAGGTTAAAATTGGAACCTCAGGCACAGAGATGTGGCTAGACGTTTCATAGCCAAAAAATAAAATCCTCTATTTTATCATTTCCTTCCCTGGTATTAGTTTTAGGTGCAGTATACTATAACAAGAGATTAGAGAAATTTGTTCAATTTACATACAAAAGAACATACAAAAGAACTCAACAATAAACGTAAGTGATAGAGAGTGAACATGAACCCATAATCAATCATATTTATTATTTCTAGTTATTCAGGATGACAAAAACACAGAAGAAAACAGAGCAATGTTTTTTTATTTATATACACCACATAATTTCTTATGTAAACTTGTTTTATCTATAGTGGCACTACACCTCAATAAACAATGAAACCCTCTGGTTCTAGGGCTGCTGATCAAGCCAATCGTAAAAATTTTATATTATAAGACAGTCAGGCTCAAAATAATGGCTGATGACTAATACTAATGAAAAGTGCTAGTTGTTTCTTCTTTGTTTTTTTTTGTTAAATTAATCTTTTTTGTTTTGAGGAAGATTGGCCCTGAGCTAACATCTGTTGCCAATCTTCCTCCTTTTTTCCTTTTTTCTCTCTAAAGCCCCAGGAGATAGACGTATGTCATAGTTGTACATCTATGTTGCTCTATGTGGGATGCCGCATCAGCATGGTTGATGAGCGGTGTGTAGGTCCATGCCCAGGATCCGAACCAGCAAACTTAACCACTACACCACCGGGCCGGCCCCTGAAAAGTGCTAGTTTTGAATTAACTTTACCAGCCAACAGAAACAAGGCTTCCATTTTCCAAAAAGACTCTATCATTAAAGTATGCAGTCTCCAGTAATGTAATTAGAGAATTGTTTGGTAGTCGCAGTACACCAGTAACAGAATATTTATGAATATATATTGTTCACATTACCTCGGGCCCATCCAACAGCTATCATGACTATCCAGCCATTTTTGTAATAGCTATCAGCATGTGTGACTCCACCTACTATTTTCCAAGTTCTGGTCACTTCCTTCATTCCAGCAGCCAAGAGTTCAACAGGTAGGAAAGAATAGCCCTGGGAAACTAGGTCATATGGGCAAAAAAATATAATATACCTGAAATTAAAATTTAAATATTTTAATATAAAAATGAAATCAGAAAAACAAAAATAAAAATCCAGCATATCAGCAATCACAATTTGGCAAACACAACAAATGGAATTATCCATATAAATATGAAATTTGACTTCAAGAAGACTACAGATTGGGTCAATTTTTTTAAATCTTGTGAAGCACATAAAAGTCATGATCAAAGGCGAATGTAAATTTTGAACTTCTGAACACTCTATATATGCAAAAAGTATTTACTGAGTTCCTAATTTGTGCCTATACTGTTCTAAAAGCTAAGTGCTGAACCCACTAACAAAATAAAGCAAAATATATAATCACTTCCAAGGTAGGGACGTCTCTAGCTAGAGTGTCTTTGTCCTCTGGGAAAAGGAATTAGAAAAGGGCCCTTGATAGCTGAGCAAGAGCTGCATTTCAACCCCACTTACATCTTCATCTGTGCCCCTTTGTGCAGCACATAAACTGCAACCTATACAAAGGTCATAGCTCTCAAGGAGACAGATTGTGTTAAGGAAAAACATATTTTCATACAGCTGAAAGAATATGAAGCTTGTTTTTCAATTTAGTTGAGTAAGCTTAAGTTTTACCCAATTAAATTGTGATATTAGTTTAATAATAATTCACTCCTCAGCTGAATTATTTTTTGAAGCCTCATTTGTTCTAAGCATCTGTTCAAAGAGTTTAACAGTAGTGTTAATTGGAAAATACACTACTTTTTCTTCCCCATTCCTAAAATACTCTCTGGCAGACAATTTTGTGCTTAAAGCAGAATATATTTTCTTCCTAATGGAAGTGATATGGAATACACTGCATGAAAGAAATATTACATCTCTTCTAAAAGAAGTTGTTAATCTTATTGCAATTCATGATTCATAAAGTCAGAACTCCCAAAAGTATTCATGGAATACGAAATCTATTTGCCAAAATAGCGCTTCAGAGACCCAATACAAGCTGCAATGGTTTGTTTAGCCTGAAGCACTCTTTCTTCTTCATCTCCACTTACCAATTCCCTCCTATTCTTCAAGGTCCCACTCAAATACTACCATATACATTGACTTTGGGAGTTTTGTTTTAGTCAATATTCTCAGTTCACACTGAATTCTGATGGCTCTGTGCAACTAAAACAATTGGTTCTTATGCCCCAACATAGCTCTTTATACATTTTTCTTTATAATATATAAAGGCTGCAATGCTCATAATAAATTTTAATAGTCCTTAGATGGTAGGAACCATTCATCTTGTTACCCCTTCACCTAAAACTCAGCATGATGAGAAGTAGCCCTGAATTAAATGATTTATTAGCAGTTAATCTGGAGGCAAATTGCAAAATATACCAAATCAAAGAATCAGTTGATGGGGCCAGCCCGGTGGTGCAAGCGGTGAAGTGCGCACACTCCGCTGCAGCGGCCCGGGGTTCGCCAGTTCGGATCCCGGCGCACACTGACGCACCACTTGGCAAGCCATGCTGTGGCAGCATCCCATATAAAGTGGAGGAAGATGGGCATGGATGTTAGCCCAGGGCCAGTCTTCCTCAGCAAAAAAAAGAGGAGGATTGGCAGATGTTAGCACAGGGCTGATCTTCCTCACACACACAAAAAAAAAGAATCAGTTGATAATTAAAGAGTTCGAGAGAAAAAATAAATTATCTGAGGGGCCAGCCCGGTGGCGTAGTGGTTAAGTTTGCATGCTCCGCTTTGGCAGACCGGGGGTCACAGGTTCGGATCCTGGGTGTGGACTGTCACATAGCTTGTCAAGCCATGCTGTGGTGGCATCCCATATAAAGTAGAGGAAGATGGGCACAGACGTTAGCCCAGGGCCAATCTTCCTCAGCAAAACAGAGGAGGATTGGCAACAGATGTTAGCTCAAGGCTAATCTTCCTCAAAAAAAAAGAAATAAATAATAAATAAGTAATCTGAGAGTAGTAAAAAGCTTTTTGAAAACGACTGGTATGATTTAAAAATTTTACATGTTCACATAATATTTTGAAAACCTCTATACGCTTCTCTCTTTAAATATACACCAAATTTCCAGGAAGTCAATTAGGTATTGGGGAAAAAAAGAGTTACACTTAAATAAGTAATTTTAAAATGTATTTTAAATAAAATAAAAACATTTCAGTATCCACTGGAGATTAGATTAAAAAAGGAAGATTTGGTTTCACTCGAGCAGTAATGAATGCTCAAAAGCAAAAATACTCAAAGAAACAACAAAAACAAAAACAAATGATCCCATTTTCATTCTCTACACCGAGACTATCTTCAACATGAGTTAAAAACTTATACCAGTACAAGAGCAATCTTAGACTTTTTATATTCAACTATGTGACATTACGGCATACAGTGTAAAGTTTGTAATTATTGCTATTTTTCAATAATTAAGTCTTTATTCTATTAAATCAGAAATTTTTTTTTTTTTTTTAACGCAGGAAGCCTGGCTCCATATCCACTTTTTTTTTTTATGCTACTTTCTGTAGTGTTTTTTTTTTTTTTTTAGATTTTATTTATTTATTTTTTCCCCCCAAAGCCCCCGTAGACAGTTGTATGTCATAGCTGCACATTCTTCTAGTTGCTGTATGTGGGACGCGGCCTCAGCATGGCGGGAGAAGCGGTGCATCGGTGCGCGCCCGGGATCCGAACCCGGGCCGCCAGCAGCGGAGCGCGCGCACTTAACCGCTAAGCCACGGGGCTGGCCCTAATTAGAAATTTCTAAAGCATACCTATAATAAGCAAACATTTTAAACAGAAAACAGTTCTTGGTTCAAGTGTTAAATAGTCACAGGGCAAAAGAATAATTGTTTATTGTGCTCAGTAAACTTACAAGTAAACATATCAGACCATAACAACCATTCCTGCTTATAACACAAGTTAGCTTTTTTAAACTCCTTTAAGGAATCATCATTAAGCAATCATCATGTCCTTCCTCCTGTAAAGACTAGAATTTCACCTTTAACTAAAATTGCCACTCCTAAGGAACTTTTAACTTACAAAATGCTTAAAGAAAACATATCAGAAAAGAAGAAGAAATGAGACATATTGGACAAGAAATGGAATGAGAAGACGATTTCTTATACATTTTTAAGTCAGTTAGGTTAATGGAGAGAAAAAAATGACAGAGAATAGTGCAAAATACTAGAAGTTAATCTAAAACAAGATACAAACAGGATGCTAGGCCACTGACAAATGAAAGCTAAACCAGTTTAAGTAGGAAAGATAAAAGTAGAATTTAGGTTAATATCAAGAGTTGAGCAGAGAGAAGCTTCCTACGGTTAGTCACTGAGAACTCTGTTTTCACTCTACTATTAATTCTACTCCTCTATCAAAGATAGTATTACTTAACTAAGCCAAAACAGAACAATAAACTAAATATAGTTCATATTAGTCCAATATGACAGCTTTGCTCTTACTCTTATTACTCTAACAAATTAATAAATTTACGTATCTGCTTTGAAAAAGACTATTGCAGAATGACAGACCTATAAAACTATAGCTTTTCTTGTATTTTTCCTCATAAAAATACAGTCTTTTTTGCATTTTTGCAAAAAATGTATTTTGCATAAGTCACTTATGCAAATGTGCAATAAATAATAATTGCTACTTGGAAGTTTAAGGAAAACAAACTGGCACACAAAAATCAATACATAGAAAAATTACAAAATATTTATCTCCCCCAAAACAGTTTTCAAAAAGAAAAATCTTATGAAAGTGTATGCTGTCTTCCAAACAATACTATACCATGATATATACCAAGTTACTGTTTCCCTTTGCCAGTAGATGGTGCTAATCTCCAGATGTGAGCACTATGAACTATTGCACTCAAGATGACCTTTCCAATAAGTGCATTCACAGAATCCCTTAGTTTAGCTTGCTAGAGATTAAAGTACATTCCAAACATCATTTTATCTCTCAAATTAAAATCAAATAAAGCAAAGATTACAAATTTGTTCTCAACATTAAAACCTTGAAAAGGAATATAGTAAAATATATATGTCTTTAAGCAAGCATTTTTTATACTTAAGGGTCTGTGAGAACAGAGACAATGTTTGTATTTCCAGAGTCCAAAACAATACACTGCATAAGAGCAGACTAAAGGATTAGATAGCCTAGGTTTGAATCCTGGCTCCAACCACCAGATATCTGTGATACCGTGGGGAAGATATTTAACCCTTCTTGCCTCGGTGACATCATCTGTTAAACGAGAATAAAATAGCATCTACCTTACAGGGTTCTTGTGAGGTTTAAGTGAAATAATATATGTAAAGCACTTAGAAAAGTGTCTGGAACACAGTAAATACTACATCAGTGCTATTGTTGTTGTTTTATAATGCCCAACAAAACAACTAGAACCAGTAAAAATGCTCATCAACAGAAGGATAAATAAAATATAGATATTAATATAATGGATTATATAGCAGTGAGAAGGAATGTACTATAGCTACATGCAAAAACACGGATGAATCTTATTAACATTATGTTGAGTGAAAAAAACAAGTCCCAGAGAACAATATACAGTATGATACCCATTTTAAAATAGGGCTCAAAACTAAATATATATTATTTAGACATTCATATGCATGATACACCTTTTTTTAAAAGGTAAGATAAACACAAACAGGATAGAGGTTATCTGTGGGAAAAGTGCAGAGAGATGCGATGGGGAAGAGATATATGAGCATAGGTTAATTAATGGTAAAGTCGAGTTTTTAGGCTGGATGCAATGCAGTGAAAACGTAAATTAGTACAATCACTTTGGAAGTGATTTGGCATTATCTAGTAGAGTTTAAAAATCACTTTCCCTGTAACTCAATAAATCTACTCTTAAGCATATACCAAGAGAAAATCTTGCTCATGTACACCAGTAAATATATATAAGAATGTTCTTAGCAACACTGTTTGTAACAGGAAAAAAACTAGAAACAACTCTCTGTCAACAGAGGAATGGATGAACAAATTACAACAATTAATTATGGTATGCTATACAGCAGTAAAAA